TTTGGCTTTTCCCATGGAGACATCTGAGGAAAATGCTGTTTTCTCCATGCTCAAAACACTCTCTCAACAATTTGCAGCGGGAAAACAACTTGAAATTTGGCAATATATACATTATTTATTTTTTTCCTCACTGATATTGTAGTTATTCTGTCAGAACTTTCCTGAATTTGGGTGAGGGAGAAACCTGTCAGGGCTTATATTTCCCACATGCACAAGGGCTTGTCACTGTAAGGGTAATTTTGCTTTGTCTCAAGTGGCATTTTTGAAATATATTCAGCCTTGTTCAGGAAAATCTGCAGATCCAGAGTGATATTTCTTAAAGAAAACTTCCTGCAAACAATCATTCCTCAGTTTTCAGAGCAGAGCTTGAATAGCATCCAACAAACCAAGCTGCAGTCCAAGTGTGAAACAGGCACAGATGAAATCAAATATTGAATAGTCATTCATGAATCTTGCACTGAATTGAGGGAATCCTCCTCCCACCCCTCCTGGCATTTTTGGAGTTGTGGGATGAAATTTTTATCTTAGGAAGGCATGAGCTCGTGCTGAACCCTGCTTTTTTACATTCCTCATTTTTCGCTAGAAGTGTTTGTATTTTTCAACCTGGCATGGGAATGTGATGAATAATTAGTGCCTTCATGGGTGAACCAGCCTTTTTTAAAATTTCCTGAGGGTCCAGGACTTGAAGAGGGCCCAGAAATGTGAATAATAGTAAAATCCATTGCTCTTATCCGTATTCCAAAGGCTCTGCTGGTAGAGACAACTGAAAATAAGGAATTGGGCCTTCCAGGTGTCTCCTGGGTATAGAGAAATACAAGGTGGGAATGTCCCTGGCTTGTTCCTGCTGTTAAAGCCTTTACTGGACAACAGGAGAAACTCTCTTATTGTACAGAAATCCATTTGGGATTCTCAGATACTCTCTTGGATAGTCTTGTATCTTTAAAATTCAGATTTGTTTGGATTTGGGATTCATGGAAGGTTTTGGCTTGAAGCAGCAAGTGCCCTATCCCCGTGCTGGTAAGAAAAAGGGAGAGCTGATAATGCATTGCTAAAATTTAGTCTATTATATAAATTACACTCAGGCTGACAAGTTCCTCAGGTCAACTTAATCTGTTTTCTTCTGTGACTGGAAAGAGAAAATGACCATTTAATTACTGGGGGGGAAAAAATGATCCTCCTGATTGAGAGAGTCACATGAGTGCAATTTACTTTATCCTTCCATTCGTTTGAGGGACATAGATGCAGTTCAGCCAGAGATTTCAAGTTTAATTCCAAGCCAGTTATTTCAAGTTTAATTGGGTGGACTCAGAGTGACAAAACCCCCAATGTCCCCAACAAAACCTCTGTGTTTTGCTGGTGGTGTTGTAGGGGACAAAATTGACCCTGCTTTGTTCTTATGTGCTTCATTCATCTCTTATTTTCCCTCTTCTGTGGTTAAAGTGATCCGTGTTTAACTTGGCATTCTGGGAGGTTATTCAAGAATTTACCAGAGCACAGACCCTGGCACAGGCTCCCATCCCTGGAAGTGTCCAAGGCCAGGTTTTGGATCACCTGGGGATATTGGAAGGTGTCCCTGCCCATGGCAGGGGTGGCACTGGATGAGCTTAAAGGTCCCTTTCAAACCATTCTATGATCTCCCCGTATAGATGATTTTCCAGGAATTATTTCCATGATTTCTGAAACTGGGATGGAGGTGCACCAGGAGTAATTCAGTGTCAGCCTATTTTAAGCCTCTTTTATTCAGTGTCAGCCTCATTTTTTTGTTCACAGTCTGGAATCCCAGGATGATTTGGGTTGGAAGAGACCTTAAAGCTCATCCTGTTCCACCCCATGCCACGGCCAGGGACACCTTCCACTATTTTAAGAAGGGCTGCGACAAATCCCCTAAATCCTGGCTTTAGTTTTGATATTGGGAATATTCCTCGTGGTGAAGTGTAACACTCCACAGGCACCGAGGGGAGGATTCCCAGTGCCCAGGGCACAACCCCGTGAATAATTCATTAATAATGGGGACCATTATCGGTTTGTGTTCCCAAACAAACACCAGCGTTAGCACATCTTCATCGGACCGGCTCTGAAGTCAGGCAGTCACTTAGCAATTAAAAGTTTAATTGCTCCACAATTAAATTGGCGACTACAATGTAATTAGCACGCAGGGTTTAATTTGGGAAAGCCAGGCTCTGGCTGAGGGGCCTAAGGATGTGTGCTGGGGACCAGGGCAGCAAGGGAAGCTGTTCCCTCTTGGATTTCATGGAATATCCCCAAGTGTCGTTCATTTCTAACTCCTAGGACTGTTTTTTCATAAGAAAAGCTTAATTTCATGACGTTTTAGTGAACCTCCCAGAAATCTTGCAAAGCAAGAGGGTGAGGTGAGGCCCTGGCACAGGTTGCCCAGAGCAGCTGTAGCTGCCCCATCCCATGAAGTGTCCAAGGATAAAGAACCAAAGAACTGAGACTTGGGGGTCTGCAGAACCCAAAATATTTTGAGTTCTGCGTGGTTAAAGGGATTTTTGGAGCTATTTCTGTTGGAAGGAGGCTGGTGGCTTGTGGAGGCATCGATCTCTTTTATTGACCCTTAACTCTGGTCACCTTCTCCTGCTCATCCTGGAAAAAGAATGGCTGGAGCCCTTGGAACTGGGGAACTAAAGTCACTGAGATTTTTATTTTATGCTGTTTGGAAAATCATACACATTGCCCATTGTTATGGAATAGCTTCTTACAGCTGACAGAAAAGTGCATTGTTTGTATGCCAACTAACGCTCCCCAAAATCAGCTCAAGCTGTAAATTAAATATAATGTTGAATTCAATAATGCTCAATATTTGGACTGAAATGCAGCATTTTCTGATTCTCCTGCTTGGAGAGAAGCATCTCTTGCATTATTTAGTGTTTGTCTGATGGAGATGCCAAGGCAAGCTGCAGATGTATCTCCATTAATTGATCAATATTGTGTTTTATTCCATTTGGTTCCTTTATCTGCTTGATACAGCAGAACAATTTGTTTGCTCCATGGAAACTTGCACTGTATAGGCTGCCAGGTAGGGAAAGGAAATGGGAAAAATCCTACAGCAGTTCTTTGACCTTTTAATTCCATAAGAGGTGAATTTTGCTCACATCTGGGTATCTTATGGTGAGGTGTTTAACGTTCCAGATTGCCTAGTTACACAGCAGGGGAATGGGAGGCTTTCTCCAGGATAATAAATTGTAATTAAAGAGCACATTAATTACCAAACCACAGAGCATTGTTTTATCTAATCTTGCCAATACCTTCAATATCGTGCTGGGAGATCTTCTCTTTACTTTTAAAACAAGTATTTTAATTTCATCAGCAACGTGTTTCTTGTGCTTCCCAACACTTGGGAATAATGTGATCCCATCTGTGCATTAGTGCTCAGAATTGCCCATTTTTCTTTGGAACCCATGAGCCAAAAGTCAGGTAAAGTAATTTCCTTTGCAGGTTTTTGTTTTAGAGCTTTATCCAGCAGAGCTTTTTGCAGAAAAAGCTGCTGAAACTCAGTTCTATTAAACAAAAAATTACATTCTTCAAAATTATTTAGGAATCTCTGAAGCGTGGGAGGCCCCACTAAAGGCTGATATTGCTCATTCTTGAGATAAACATCTATTTAGGTTCTTCTTGTTAGATTGATACATAATATGAGGAAATAAATCAAACATTTATAAAAATAATAATAAAAATTAACTTGCAATGAAGATATTTTAATCCCTCCTAACTCTGCTTCTCTATCACAAAAAGCACTTTTGCCATTTTACACTCCCACAGCCCAGGTAACATTAGATCATAATAATATTTACCAAACGGCCACTTTCAGCTTGATAAATAATCATCTTTTCTAACCCAAATGAGCCTGTGTTTCAGTTCTCTGACTGTATTCCGTGATCCCTGAAGCTGTTTCCCAGTTTGGGGTGCCAGGGGAAGTTTTTTAGTGGATGCTAAGATTTGCAACCTTTGCTCTTTTTCCCCACCCTTTTTTTAGGTGGGAATAACTCTGTGCCCCCCCCACATCCCCTCTTCCTTCTCTTCTCCTGGCTCTTGGTTTTCAAATATTGCTTTTTAAACCCTCCAATATTAAAAAGATGTGTCACTTCCAACCTCCTAGGTTGGTCCTGAGCTCCCTTCTTTCCATCCAGTCTGGGATTTTAACCCTTCCTCACACATCCCTTCCCAGCATGGTGCAGGTAAGCTGATAAAGCAGATTTCCCCTCATAAAATGAGATATACAGAAAGGCAAGGGGTGGAGAGATGGGAATTAAATAATAACCACGGGTCAGAGTAATTTTCTTTTCTATGATAGTTCTGTTACTCATGAATGAGTGTTCTCAGGGATTAGTTTCTCAGGGAAAATGAGCAAAATTACACTGCTGCTTTCATGTGGGAAAAGACCTAAACCTTTTCTTTTTTGAACACAAAAGATAGGGGGAATTTTGCCTGAAAGTCTAAGAGGTGAAACAAAGTTCACAATGAATTTGGTGTACTGTATGTCCTGACTGTACAGATGCTCTGTAGGCACAGATTTTGTGGTAATTGGGAGTGGGGCTGTGGCCGAGCCTCATCCCCAGGGTCTCAAGCCTCATCCCACAGTCTCAAGCTGTGCCAAGGGAAATACAGGTTGGATTTTAGGAAAAAGTTTTTTACAGGAAGGGTGATAAAGTTCTGCAATGGCCTGTCCAGCAAGGTGGTAGAATCACCATCCCTGGATGTGTTTAAAACAGACTGGGTGTGGCACTGGGTGCCAGGGTTTACTTGAGGTGTTGGGGCTGGGTTGGACTCGATGATCTTGGAGGTCTCTTCCAACCCAGCCCAGTGACTCTGTGAATTCTAATGGGCTGCAGCTGTGCAGGACAGGGGACTGATATTGCCATTAATGAGCCGTGGGGTGCCCAGGGCACTGACCAGTCACACAGAGCAGAGGGCACACAGGTGCACTGCATCAGCGTGAGGGGATAAAAGCTTGGGCTGAAGGGCCGGAGGGGCAGATGCTTGCAGCCTCCTGGAGTGGAGTTACTGTGTGTGAGCAGATCCCTGAAGCCTTCTGACCTGGTGGGGTGTTACTGTGTGTGGGGTGAAGCTTTCTGAAATTATTTGGTGGTGCTCTGTGTTTTATGGCTGTCTCAACTGTGACAAGGCTCTACTAAAAAACCCTCAAGTGTTAAAAGCTTCTGCATGCAACAGTTGGTTTTAATGTTTTTTCTGAATATATATGCTCTTCTTTGTAATATGTTTAGCTCCTTTTGAAGTTGGAGGGCTCTGGTGGTGGTTTGTTTTTTTTCTTTTGTTCACAGTATGGAATTCCTTGGGTTGAAAGGAACCTTAAATCCCATCCCGTTCCATCCCCTGCTATGGCCAGGGACACCTTCCACTATCCTAGGTTGCTCCAAGCCCTGTCCAAACTGGCCTGCAACCAAATGCATTTTAAATGTTAACTCTAAAAACCCCATTTGCCTTCCTTTTAAAATGTCTGAAATTATTTAATTGCCCATTTAAAATGGTCTTTCTTCTTTTTCTCATAGATGGGAAGGTTGAAGTGACAAAAGAGGGAGTGAAGCTCTGCACCATGGGACCTGGCAAAGTTTTTGGGGAGTTAGCAATCCTTTACAACTGCACCCGGACAGCTACTGTCAAAAGTAAGAGCATTTTAGATGTTTTTTTTTATCTCTTTGCTTGGAAGCTGTGTCATCTTTTACGTATTTCATTTTCCCAGTGAATTCAACTCTTTAGGGCATGGATTTTGGTATGGAATTTAGGCACTCTCTGTGAAGGAGGTGCAGAGGAAATGCATCATTCAGTCACTCAGGTTGGTCCTGCCTCATGCAGAGGAGCTTGAAGCTTACACCACAGTTTTCCTTGCAATTCCTGCTGAATCTCATAATAATTATTTTCTTACTGCTTAGAAGAACCTTTCTGACCTGTGTAAGTCTTTAAAGGTAACTCAGTAAGCCAAGCTTAGTTTTTGTTCAAGACAAGTCATTGTTTTCCCACTCAGCTGACTGTAATAAATCAGGGAAAAAAAAATCTGCATGGCACTTGACCCTCTGCTCTAAACTCCTCAGCACCTCTCCTGTCACCTGTGTTCTTTTATGTATGTTCTGGGCAAAAGCTTGGCTTGCACAATTAAGCAGAGGAAATAAATCACGTTGCTATGTATGACTTAAATGGGTTTTTGTTTATATTCAGATGCAGGTATAGGATATCACAGTTCTCCTTGATCTTGAGGACAAGAGTTGATGGTGGTGTCTAAAGCAGAGTGAGATAATAAATAGTTGTGTGGTTTTAAAGTGCTGTGCGGGAGGAGTCAGAAGAGCACAGATGGTACAGAATAATCCAAACAAGAGGTACAAACTTGAATAATACCAACCAGTGGCATTCTTGTGCCAGAATAATGAGCTGTGCAAGTCCCTGCTCTGAAGAAAGCCTTTTCCAAATACCTAATTGTGCTTCAAAAAAAAAGAGAAAGGAAAAGAACAAATGGGCAGGAATGTGAAAGCAGGAACAGATAAGTGGATTATTTTCTGCAGGATGTGCTGTTCTCTGTAGGGCTGAAGGACATGACTGATGTTCTCTGTTCTCACCTGTGCAAGCCTTACCTTTTCACTAGTCCTGGGGACCTCAGGTGCGGGTGAAAAACTCAGCAGGTTTGTGTGATAAATACAGCTGGGGAAGGTTGGAAAGAGAGGAGAGAGGCCACATCCCAGAAAGGGCAGTGAGAGGATGGCTGTTTAGTTCCCCTTAGGAATGCAGAGCTAGAGTGCACCTGAGAGGAATCCCACAGAACCACTCTGTTCCTGTGGCCATTCCCACCTGCTTGGGCAAGGCACTCCCACTGCAGGTTTTCCTGTATTTTTTCCTCCTACTGCCTTTTCCACACCCTCAGGCTCCCCTCCTGAGCAAACCTCCTGACTGACAGGTGGCATTCAGTTGTCCCAAATCCCTTAGCCCTGGTTAAACTGGGGCAGGACTAAGGTCACTACTCAGAGAATCCTTGCCTCGAGGAAAAGGAGTCCGTGCCCCTTGTTCCTTTCCCAGCAGCACTGTGTAATTAAGAGTTCTGCTGGGTTTTAATCCCTTTCCCAGGGCCAGCAGGGGATTTGGATGAGTTTTCTCTCTTGTTAGTGCACAAATCAGTGTCATTGGGGCTGTAATGAGCTTGGGGAGCTACTGCAGCTCAGCCTCACTGAGCTGAGGGTGTGGAGGTGCTCACATCCTCTCAGGGCATGGTATTGACTTAGCTGATCCTACACAGCTTCAAACATCTGCTTGTTCCTTTGGGAAATGAGCAATAAATGTGGTAAACACCTAGAAAGGTGGTGGTAAATACTCCATTAAGCCTGGGCATAACTTGGATCATTCCAAGGTTTGTTCTGGGAGAAATAAAATTGGTAATTGTAGTGAGAACAGGCACTCAGTCAGCACTGGTGGTGAAGAGGTGTCAGGGAGCACCATCCAGCTCCCATTTGGAGAAACTCTCAGAGCTTCCCAGTTTTCAGGAGAGAGCTTTCCATAATCTCCAGAGTGTCAGGAGTGTGTTTTGATGGGCCTGCCTGTGCTTCATTATGATGACATTAAGTGCTGCATTCTGAGGATGAAGTTGCAGCAGAGGCTGAGTGAAGGATGGATTTATGTGGGTGTGGATCTCAGTGTTACAGCTGGGCCATGATGAGGTGTCAGCTGAGTTGACATCTCCAGCTGGAACTGGGTTTTATGTGTATCCTGGCTTTGGTTTGTAAATAATAAAGATTTTAGTGTCATTAGTCACTGTTGGTCTACATGGGCTCTTCAGCATGGGCTCTTCAGCTTGTGCTCACTCTGCAGGAGCAAACTTCAAGTATAAATCACTGGAGGAAGAGCTTTGTCTTTGCAATAGAATTTAGGAGACATTAAAATTTAATGATTCTGATCTGACTCCTGTCTCATAACGACCTCTTTAATAAGGCAATCCAGGGCTTTGAAAAATCTGCCCCAGGAGCACTATTAACATTTTTTTCCCCTATCATTGCAGTCTTAAATAAAAGCAGGATGGGGTTGGAGTTCAAGCAGGGCCTGGGAAGAACCCAAACCCTTGGGTGTTGAGGAGCACTGGAGAAGGCAGGGACACATCTCCTGATGTGTGGCCTTCTTTTAAGACAAACATACAATTTTTGACAACCGTTTTTTGTTGGTTATTCTGCAGTGTTTGCTTTACATTTCCAGATATTACTAGAGGGTTTGGGTTTTTTTTATTTGGTTTGCTTTTTCTTCTTCTGGTAGAAAGTGATTTGTCTGCTTCAAGTATGGAATTGTCAAGGCTTTCTGACTGTTGATGCTCACAGATCACCTTCCATTGCACACTCAGTGAAATCCAAATCAGAACCTAATTTCTCACTCTCTGTATTGATTATCCAGAGTTCTCAAGTGCCTGCATGCAAACCTGGATGCTGCTTGCAATTCAAAGCAGAACCACAGACTTTTCTCCCTGATTCCAACAAATAATTAGGTTCAGAATGAGGAAAACACCACTTTTTATGGCTATGCCTAAAATGATGTCTCTGATCCTCTGTTTTTAGAGACATGGTTGGGAAAAAGGGCTATGAGAGGTCAGCAAAAAAATATAAAAAACCCAGCAATCTCCCCAGCTGAACTGAGGTTGTGTTTAAAACATTGTGGTTCTTGATTTTGATAAGAAAAAAAAAATGTGGGAGGAAGTGAAATTAATCTGCTGTTAATATTGTGCACAAGTGCTCATTCCTCTTAAAGAATCAGGTGTGGAGCAGATTTTTGCAGGTGATTTAGGAGTGGATTTTGTGGAAGGAACAGATTCTCCATCCTCTAAGGATGTTCTGCTTATTTTAGAAGTGGTCTTAACACCCGAAATAGATTCTCTTGGGAGCAAAATTCAAATAAAACCATCCCTTAGAAACATCTCTGTGCGAGGCTGATGATTTCAGGGGAGTTACACTCCACACCAGCTTGTGTTTTCAGGAGAACTATTAGGAAAAAAAAAAAACCCAAAAAAACAAACCAAAAAAACCCAACAAAAACCAAGCAGAGGCTGAAGTTATTAAACTCTAAATTATGTAAATCCTTTTGCTGGCCCTCCAAAGGCAGCACAAGAGTCCCTCAAGCTGCTGTGCTTGCCAGCTGCACTAATTGTACAAAACCCAGAGCGGCGCAGAGGGATTAAGGCGGGAGCTCAGCTTTTCCTTGCCAAGCCTGGATGAGTTTGAATTTTCAACTGCTGGTTTTTGTTTTAATGGCATCCTCTGCACTGCTTGCTGTAGCCCCAGGAATGACAGAACTTTCCAAGGAGCTTGGTAACATGGACAATTTGTGGGGAAAAATAAGGCAGCAGCGAGTTGCCAATTAAAACTGCAGAGACTCATTAAAGTCTTGCAGAAGGATGTTGCCTTCAGATACTCTCCTCCAACAATTACAGGAGCCAGGGTAAAGTTTGTTCAGCTCTCCTTAAAACACACTTGGGAAGGAAGTTGACTTTTAGATACTCAACTGTTTGATTAAAATCTCTCTGATATTACATGGAGATAAGAAACCCGGGATGGCCCAGCCAGTCTGGTGGGAGATAAATGGAATATAAATGGATCTATCCTGGGAGAAAGTAATTTAAACTCACCCTTCCACTGCCTGTATTTTACTGTGACCTTTACAGGTTTTGCAAGTAATGTGACAAAATGGGATTGGATTATTCCTCCAAGGGGATGATAATGAGAAAATGATGTTGAGGACAACGGACAAGGTGTAGCAGGAGTTTTTTCCCTCCCTCTTCTTCAGAGGCATCTTCAGGGTATCATTTCTGTGGCTCCTCATTTCCATCTTTGGGATCACAGAATCCCAGAATGATTTGGGTTGGAAGGGACTTTAAGTCCCATCCCATTCCACCCCTGCCATGGCAGGGACACCTTCCACTGTCCCAGGCTGCTCCAAGCCCTGTCCAGCCTGGCCTTGGCCTCTTCCACAGATCCAGGGCAGCCCCAGCTGCTCTGGGCACCACCCCGCCAGGTAGCAATTCCTTCGCAATGTCCCATCCATCCCTGCCCTCTGGCAGTGCGAGCCATTCCCTGTGTCCTGTCCCTCCATCCCTTGTCCCCAGTCCCTCTGCAGCTCTTCTGGAAGGGGCTCTGAGTTCTCCCTGGAGCTTCTCATGTCCAGGTGAACACCTGGACATTCTGGCATCATGGGCAGCTTTAAGACTGGTTATTCATTTATGGGAAAAAATTTCAGTGTTAAATCCATATTGAAAAACCCCATAGATCTGTTTGGCCGAGCAGATAAAGTAACAGTAAATAACAAAGGCCAGTTTGTTGTCTGATACACAAGGAGGGTGATCACCACGCCAGGGAAATGGATGCTTCTGTTGTTCTGGAACACTTGTGGAAATAATTTTGTTGATGTTTTTCACATTGATTTAATTGCAGAGTGGATTGAGCTAAGTTCCCATCACTTAAACATGGTTATAAGGAGATGATGGCTTTCTCTGTGCAACCCTTGAAGAATTAGTTAATATTAATAGCAGATGTCAGATAATTAGTTCATAAAAGCTCCCATTTCATCCCTTTCTATAGATGTCACTGAAAATGTTGATGTTTGAAATATGGCCAGAGCAGCTGTGAGAAATGAGGTGACTGAACTTTGC